GCCAATCGCTGTTCAGCTATTTTCAGCTTATTTTCAGATGACTTGGCTGTAAAAACAACTGGTCAGAAAGTACACATTGTCATATATAAGAATCAACCTACCTGCTTTGAGCAGCTTGATTGAATTGCGATGCAGAACCTTTAGATGTATAGCATCCATACGTGTCTGCCTAGCAGCCCATCGAAGCGATGAAATAAGTGGGGAAATATCAAACCAGTTACGTTCTAGGCCTTCTCCATCCGAGAATCCCCAACCTATGTTGAGGCGCGGGTTAAACTGAAGTTGGCAGCTCCACTGATGGACATAGGCATGGAATGCGCTTGTACCAAACTTCAATTGACCTTTCACACGTTTGTCCTTGAAAAGATTGTTCTATGAATAATGAACACCATAAGCACTCATTACAACTGGAGGATTGATTCAGATGACTCGCTTTGATAACACCTTTCTCCATTGTACACCCAATGTCATACAAGACGCCTACATCCGCTTTGTTGGTGTCTGAACAGGCTTCTAGGATAGCGTGAAACAAAAGCCCAATCAAAGCATGCACAAAGTATGCTCTGAAAAGGTTATGATGTAACCTTCAGTAAGTATTGCTTGTATAATCTAAAATGTTCAGAGACAAGAGAACTACCCACTTCTCCCCACTACGAACAACATTGACTAGCTTGAGCATGTGATCATGTCGACATGCCAAACCAATAAGGCCGGTCTCTTCACAACCTCGCCAGCTTGATGCATCTCGACGGTCTGCCGCCGCTGTGTGTTGCGTTGTACATGGATCCTGTGAAGCAAATGTCAGCTTGTGACAACATCACCTTCCAGATAAGTTAGTCTTTATATACATACTAAAGCAACTTGGGTACCTCCAGAATTTGTAGTCTCGGGCTCCCATTTCAAGACGTCTTCAGCAGGCATGAATATAGAAGGGGTCGATATTTTTATTTCATTGATTTCTCGACTTGCTTTCTCATGTCGCCGCTGTTGAAAGTTGCCATCAACACATACAATGTACTGAGGTCCTTTCTGCATCCCATGTGAACCAGCAGGTCCAAAACACCTAGCACAATTACATGCCAGCTTCTCCAACGGTGTCAGGTCAAGGCTCCGGCTCTCAAGATCCTCGATAATTTTCAGTATCTGGCGATAGCAGTAAACAGCTGCTGACAGCGGTGTTCGCCATAGACGAGGCTAAAGAGACACTCGCGCGTAAGTCAGTTTCAAGTAAGCTCAACAAGAATCCAAAACAAAATGAAAATGAACCTCGTGAGTTTCAGGCACCGTAATCAGTGGGTTATTGGTGTCAAGATATTTATCAATCATTAATGAAAAAGGTTGAATAGTCGAATGGCAGTATTCCCAAGATAAATGATAAAAACGAAGGAGTCGCATGGAGAAAGCAGTCTCCGGACTCGCGGGAGATCCTCCTAAGTATCCATGATTGATGAGTCGAACTTGATCCGGCGTACAGCTACAGAATTCAAAAGTGACCTTCCTACGATCTAGTGACTTGAATATCAGCTCGGCATCCAATCACAAGACTTGGAGTGTAATCACTCACAAATTAAATCCACGGTGTCCACAGTACGAATGCGCTTATCGCGCATATCACATGAGCAAGGTTCCTCATTGTTGAAGTCGTGATCCCACAACTTATCGTTCCCCCAGCTTGATGTACGATCGGAGCACTTCATGTAAGCAATGAAGACCTTTGGCATTATTCGCTTCCAATGTGCATCTTCCCGTATCCGACGATATTTGTAATCATCGCCTGAGACATATTGAATGTATGATTTTTCGTCTTCATGTACATCGAACTCATCTTCATCAACAGGCTCTTCGTTGGGAAAGGGTTCTTCTTCTGGTATTCCATATCCATCATCCGACTGATTATCATTATCGTCATTGGAAAGAAATTGTTCAAAGATGTTGGGTTTGAGAGGATTCGAAGGTATGTGATCAAGAGCTTGGATGATTTCTTCACACTTCTTAAGACCCCATTTTTTTTGAGCTTCATCTCGTTCAGCTTTCTCTCGAGTTGCTTGGGTATCTGGTGCCTTGCGTTTAGGTAATCGACTTCCTAGAGGACATGCAATTGCTCGCCCAGAGGTTCCCATTTTTTGTCTCTGGATGATTATTGAGGGTGACTCTCTGTTTTTAACTGGATGTCACTGACTGAATTAAAATCAATTTCCCTTTTGGGAAGGTGGACCGGGCAGGCCCCCTTAATCCGGTCAATGCTAAGGCCTACAATCAGCTATTTGACCAAAACTAGCTCAAGCTCGAGTTTCAAGGTGTGATTGTGACAACACTGACAGGCACTCAGCAAATGTCAAAAAGACTCATCTACTGAATCAAAAGTTAAAATCGACTCGAGCACGAGATTCAAGGTGTGATTGTGTATCATGTATTTGCAAAGCGCTGACAGCCTGACAGGCACTCAGAGAATGTCCAAAATCTCTGACAGCCAGTGTACTTCAATTGAATGGATTATGTACATAATGTAGGAAACCGTGCAGAAATGATCTCATCGGTTTGACAAAGGAACTTTGAGATTTTGTGACTCCTTGCAGGCTCAGCCACAGGATAGATTGTAGTCCTTTGGAGTTGTGAAATCATGTCAAAGTTGTTCCCTTCATCAAGTGTTCTAAAGAAACAAAGAATATGCTCACAGTTTGATTGGATAGAAAAAATAAAGATGAGTCAGTAAGCTCACACAGTTTGTGTGTTGCCCGTTCCAAAGATGGTATTTTGAACATATATGTGTATATATAAAGGTGAAGGAGGGGAGCTAGTGTAAAGTTGAATAGAGAAGAAATGTGCGCCTTTTGAAGGAGAAATAAAGACTGAAATTCTGAGTCAACTGGGAGAAGCCTTCTATGTCCGTGTGCGTGGTGTATGGCAAAGTGTGAGTGAAAAATGGTATTTTGAAGCTTTGAGCGTGGATAAGAGTGTGATGAAGGTGAGGTAGGGTAAAGTCGGATAGAGATGAAATGTGCGCCTTTTATAGGACAATCTATGACTACAAATATGGGCTCATGGGCACACTTCTTCCATTATCATGTTTGTGTTTTATGGCAGGGCGGGAGCCAGAGGTGATATTTTGAGGGTTTGTGTGTAGATATGAAGATGAAGCAGTGGTTTTATGCAAAAGTTGCATTATGAGACTATGTCTGAATTTGAATATTGTCATCTGGGGAGAGCCCAATCAGCATAATTGCAACATCTTCAAGGTGATTAGGATGTTTTTTTGTGCAAAACAATGTGATGAGATGGGTTTTTGAAGTTTTGAGCATGAATTTGCAGGTGATGGAGTGGTTGCATGAAAAAGTGACAATATTGGCTTATGTCTAAAATCAAATTTTGTCATCT